TGCTGTGAAAGACCTGATGTAAGAAAAAACAGAGTATAAGTCTTTATAAGATCTTCTATTCAGATTGTCTGAACTGTAACTGAAGAATGAATATACTCAGTATATTCAGAAACTGCTTACAGCAGAAATCAATTCTGCAGAAATAAAGAATTGAAGAGACTTAAATAATCTCTTATAAAGAGAAGACTGAATTTATGTATCTATGAATGAGTTTCTATATGTAGAACTTATTAAAAGATATTATAACTCTTCTCTAGTAAGTCATTTTACAGACACTAGAACTCATGAGTTACTTATAAGAAAATACTTCTAACTGAAGATATGAGAACTTATGAAGAAGATAGTGAATTCTTGTACTATTTATCAGAATTCACAGATAGTGCAGTTCAGACTATATAAAGAACTTACTTCTCTACTCATTCTACAGAAACCTTGAAAACAGCTAGAAATGAATACTCTTGTAAGTCTCTCTGAAAGCAAGAACATATATAATGCCTGTTTTAACAGTGTGCTGATGATAGTGAATCACTTTATTAAGATAGCATACTTTATACTCACTTACAAGAACTTGAAGTCAAAGAATTTGACTCATATCTTCATCTATGATGTGATTCAGTTACATGAATTATCTATAAACATTGTCTCAGATAGAGAATTAATCTTTGTAGAAGAGTTCTAATCTAATCTGATAACTATACTGAAGATCTTATGAGATCTAAGCACAGCTTTTCATTAACAGACAGATAATCAGATAGAATATCTGATGAGTATATTGAAACAGTATCTACAGTACTTTGTCAATTACAATTAGAATGACTGAGTACATTGATTATTATTTACAGAGTTTATATACAACAATTCAAAGTATGTCAGCACAGATAAAACTCTCTTTGAGATGCTCACTGAGACTCATCTGTGAATAATCTTAATAAACTTATGAGAGTACACTATAAAGTGTGATAATATCTGTGAACAGACTGAGAGAATTCAGAAGATCTGAGAGAAAGCTCATAAATTTTTGAGAAAGAATTAAGAGTATTAGAAGAGATACTATAACTTCAAGCATATTATAAAGAGTTTTAAGAAAGATGATAGAGTCTGACTGAGTCTAGAAAACATCATTATATGAAGATCTAGTAAGAAGCTGAATCTCTTACAGACAGAGTCTTATAAGATTATGAAGAAAATTAGCTCACAGTTCTACAGATTGAAACTGTCATCTGAGTTGTAAATATATAATGTTTTTTATATTTCTTTATTTTATAAATATAAGAAATTCTCAGAAGAGAATTCTGTGACTCATCACTCTGTCTATAAAGTACTAGAGAGTGAAAGAGAATATCAGATTAAAGAAATTATTAACTCAGAGAAGTGAGATTACAAGCTCTGATTCAAGATTCAGTGATAAGAATATTCTGATAAGATGAATGAGTTTACTTAAGAATTATTCAGATAGATAAGATATCTGTAGAAGCTGAGATATGACTTTCATACTGTGAATTCTAATAAGTCAGAATGATGCAGTCTTTACTAAGAATCTGATTATAACAAAGATATTAATACTATTATTTATAAACTCTAGTCTATAAAATGATGAGTTTCTACTGAGATGAATAGTCTGCAGTGTATGTAAGAAAAGAAGAAATCATATTCTTATTAAAGTTAAAAAATAAGAAAATAAACAGAACTGTGAACACAATTTAAAGACTAATAAAGAAAAAATAAAGAAAATTCAAACTTATATTCTCAATATCTGTGACACTCAATTTCTTCACAACTATCAATTTCTCTCTTTAAAGAAGCAGAGAGTATTATATCTGTGATACAGACAATTATTACATTTGACATGAAGACTGTCAGAAATACACAGACTTCAGAGAAGCTGAATATCAGAGTATATACAGTTATAGCAGAGTCTTGAGAACTGACTGTCTATATATATAATCAGATACTTCTTATAAAGCTGTGTTTACTTTCTCAGTTATGCTGAAGTATTCAGTCTGAAAACAATTGAGATGCAGAGAGAGAGCTTATCTGTTCAGATTAACTCTTATTACAAATTCATGATATTCACATTATCTTAATTACCTGGATTTTGCAGGTACCTGAAGACTCATCTTCTATTGACAATGAGATTGCAGAAATGTGCTGTGATATGAGAACTATTGATAGAGAATCTAGATATATTTATATATACCTGATCAGAGATTGTGCAGATAGAAAGAGAGTAATTGTAGACTCACAGAACTGCAGAAGACACTGATAACATCAGAAGCTTTATAAGAACTGTTAACTAGAGTCTGTAAGAAATTACTTATAAGAAGACTTACAGTAAAGAAAGAGACTGTACTACTTAAAGTCAGAAACTGATCTGAGAGAGAAATGAGATGAGTCACTGATCTGAAGATCAGATATGATGACAGAGCTGAAAGAAATGAAGACATGATTATGAGCAGCAGTGTCTCTACTTCATCAGCTGATAAAAACTGATCAGAGAAGTTGCAGAGACACTCATAAGAAGCTCAGCAGCAGTCAGACATTATTTATAAAGATATTGAAATTGAAAAAAATTTTTATTCTTAAGAAGTTCTTGAATCAATATATGAATATTATTAGAAACACTCTCTCTCTGTTATCTAAGTGAAAACACTTCATGAATAAATGAGAATACTCACAGTTTATAAGAATGAGAGCTGTTATAGAAAAAGAGAAAAGAAGATGAGATTTTATAAACAGATCTGAGATATTTATACTACTCTAGAGAGATTTACTTGTACTATAAGTAATTCTATAAAACAGTCAGATCACTCTAGTAAATAAGAGTAATTATGAATTATAAGTCTGAATCTTTCTATATAACTACAAAGAGTGATTACAGATCACAGATATCTTAATTCTACAATTCTACAGAATTGATAAAAGAATGAAAAATTTCTCACAATTCTACAGTGTTAAAGAATAATGATTTATGAGAATAAGTGAAAGATTAACTTATAAATGTTTCTCTTTGATAAGAATAATCTTATAGAGAGTGATTCATCTGTGAGATAAATCTGTATAATAATTACATAAGAATCTTATGAAAATAATTGAGAGTCAACTGAAACTCTTCTGTATAGAAGATGTAAAATGAATCTGTATAATAATCAGAGAAGAATCTGTAGATTATAAAAAATCTTATAAAATAAGAAACTGAGTGACAGACTCTTTTCTCTTTACAGTAATAAGAAATTTTTTCTCACTGAGATTTTTTATAGATATGAAGAATTTTTAGTAAGTATCACTGTAGTGCTGAGCTGATTCTATGAAGTCACTCAGTGAAAGACTTCACAGATAAAGTCTTAGAGAGAAAGAGATATATAAGAAATCTTACTTCTCACAGATTCTTTATCTCTATTTCTATCTCTTATATAATTAATAGAGCTAGCAGCTCTTAGCTACATATAACTATATAGACTGAAGTTTATAAATACTATTTATAACTTAGCTTGAATGCTATTATACATTTAACTCTCTATATTTTATCTTTCTACTGTGAATACTTCTAGTAGTTAACAGTACATATCACGCCAAGCTGCAAACACCCGAATAATCGCCTGCGAGCACTTATTCTTACATTATATTAATATAGAGTTAATTCTCAAATTCAATAGAAATCTAGTGTTACTGTTCTCAATCTCTTGCAGAATCTATTGAATATTGAGATATTAAAACTAGATTTAATATATCTCACTGTGCAGGAATTAAAGACTCAGTCAGATCTTGAAGTATACTGATTTTATAGTTGTTAATATACTGTTAACTCATTATTCACTGATTATGTATTGAATGCTGTTGCCAAGGTATCTTTTTGTATTATTCTGCCAGGGATGGGCCAGATTGAGAGGGGTAGTACAAGGGTGAGACTTGGTGTTGAAGTCTAGATACACTGATAACAGACCATGGAGATTGCACTTCAGAAGTGTCTGTTGATTATGTGCTTGATATTATCACTGAGGTATCTTTTTGTATTTTTCTGCCGGGGATGGGCCAGATTGGGAAGGGCGGTACGAGGGTGGGACTTGGCGTTGGTGTTTTGGAACATCAAAGATGGACAGGGTTTTCGCGGAGGTCGCTCCTCAGATATCTCCTCAACTACAGATTGGGGATCTTCCAAAATCGAGAAGATTGATGCATATGGCTAGGTCTCTTCACCTTACAATTTGTATGGCAATTTGGCCCGGGGTTGTGGTGTGGTAGGGGAGAATGGGGGATAATCCCACGCAGGAGTTCCGAACGACGTCTGGTTCACATTTGGCTGGAGGTATGCGGTCGGCGATGGGGTCAAAATGCTCGTATGATCGAGGGCTTTTCGATGGATCTATCAGCGGGTTCTTATTCGAAAAATCGAGCGAGTTCGTGGTGGAGCGGTTGATATCTCAGTAATATCTCACTGTTATGAAAAAGTAATCTGCTAGTCTTATATAGAAGTGAGATTTCTTATATTTATTAATTAAATCTTTCTATATTACATCTGAATAATATTATAGAGTGATTGAAAACCAGTTTAAACAATCTATAAAATAAATGAAATTATTCATAGAGAAGTAATAAGCTGTGTAAAACTATAACAGAGTCTTAATACAATCAGAAATATAACATAAATAAAGAAATTGAAAAAAAAAAATGTGTTATGTTATACTACAGAGTTCTGCTATTTCAATTACTAACTAAGTAGATACACTTAAAATGTGTAATATAAACATAGTAAAAGAATTCTTCTATCTGAGATGAATACATTTAATACTTATACAGATGTTTTTAAATAAAAGAAAGAATAAAAATAAAATAAAAATAAAAATAATGTAATTCTTTTTGTAAAAAAACATGCTATTCAGGCTATAACCTGTGAGATGGTTAATCTGTTGTATTCGTGTGGGAAGAGCTAGCTATATATATATTACATATGAGATCACGTGTAGGCGGAGCGGTCGCTATGGCAACGCCACTGGGGCGGACGCTACATATTCTTCATAAATATTATAGAAAGCATTACCCCTGCAAACGTGCCTTAATACACAAGCTTGCTGCCAAGTGTTCAGAAATATACCTCGAAGCATGTAGCTAAAAAATTTTCTGGGGTGTCAACTTTGCGATGGCGTAAATAACCTTCCTTTTCGGCTGAATACCACTCTGTCAATGGTAGGTAAAGTAATGATTCAACATAGTTAACAAGAAACCTATTAATTATTCTACGCCAGGGGAAAACAATTTTGATCGACAGAGATTGTACTGGTTGTGCCACTAGGGCCGATTTAACAGCGATCATTTCAATTTCTCCCTGCCACCTTACTTGTAGGTTCCAAACAAAGGGAGATCAAGGTTTTCTCCGGACTCTTAAACGCATCCAAGTAGCCGTACAAGCTTCTAGCCATACGAGCTATCGAGGTCCCCTTCCTGTTTCCGGAGAATATCTTTATCGAGGGTATGGGCAGTGATGGCTGTTATGATGGTCCTGCAGCTTGAGTCCACTGTGGCAGGACGGGATGCCCTCACCCCTGGGCACAGAACAGTCGCTACGGGCGCAGTAAATGGACAGCCGATACTGGAACACTAGCAGCGAAGCGGCAGATCAGAGCCTTACTTCTGCAGCGAAAAGTTAGAGGTGACGACAATTGTCCGTGGCCTGAAACACAGAATGGAATTGCTTCTCAAATCGCTATGTCGCAAGCCACTGGAACTAATGTACGGACAAAAGAAAGTTTGAGCCACAGTTTACGCCTCAGCCCTTAGCAGAAACGCTAGCGTCCTGGGCTTCCTTCAGAGCTGCATTTAGCTTTGCTTTATTTCTTCCCCGAGTGTGCACACGTGTATCCTTCGGATCAAACCCTCCATTTCCCCACAACGCCCATTCTTCAGTTTCCCTCATATAGTCTTCAGGCCGGAATGGTATGCCCTCGTTCTTTTCCTTTTCCAGGAGAGTGAAGAACTTGTCGTAGTCAATTCTCGTATGCCACCTGTCGTTGACGTAGAATCTGTTGGACGCAAGCAGTGCACAGCAGCTGTGCTTATGCTCGGCTGCAATGCCGTACCCGAGGCCGCGCCGGGTTAGCTCAGCGTTTAATGCAACGACAAAAGTTACAACTTCCTCGTAGAACGGAACGTTTTGCATGGTTAGCCCAGCACTAGCACTAGTGCTTGTGCCGCAAAAGGTTACTCCCTTCACCTCCACAAAGCAGGGAAGACCTTTTTCCACAAGATCAGCATAACCAGCAGCTTCCTCATCCACATTGAAGCCCTTGACAAGTGTAAGCCTGTAGACAGTCCGCTGGAGGTATCTCTTTTCTCGTAATATGTCAAGGCAGCGTTGGAATCGTTCCCAGAAGTCACGATGAAGGGGGCGGTCAATTTTCCGTAGGCTATCGCGGTTGCTCGCGTCAATGGAGACATACAGTTGCGTAACGCGATGAAGCGCCGCAAGTTCATCCGGATGCTGTGCATTGCAGACCAGGAAGCTAGAAATACGGTCATTGTGAAGGAGAGACAGGAACTTGTTGATGTGGGGATAAAATATCGGTTCCCCGACCAAGCTCAACGCACAATGTCGAATACTCATGGCTTCAGCAAAGCGTTCAGCCCGAACACCAGGCACACCACGAAGCATTTTAATTTTCTTATAGTGTTCAGCCTTAACTCCATCAAAAATGAGATCAGGAGGATCCACTTTCCAGCGCCAGGTAGTTCCAACGGGGTTTGTTCCGTGGCGCCAACAGAATACACATTTGTTGCTGCAAGAGAGCGATGGGGTTGTTTCCATACAAAGATGGGATTTAATTCCGTAAAAAGAATTCTTATAGCAGGAGCCACGACCTCGCAAGGCGGACTTGGTCCACCGGCATATTTTCACACCCGAATGCGATCCAACTATTGTGTATCCTTGCTTGGTCAGAGCGGCGTAGGTAGGTGATGAGGTAGGCACCATTTCTAGCTGAGAGGCAGGTTTGGAAGCTTGAGCGCGGGACTGTGTTGTGAAATCGACAGGCAATGGTTGAGCATTAGCAAATGCGTTCCTGCTGTTGGAACCGCCGAAGTTAATGTCTTCAAGGTCCATAATCTGTTCATTCTTGCCCTTATTCCGACGGTTCACACCATTCTCGTTGATGTCTTCGCCGTCGTCATCTATATCTTCCTCGTCACTTTCCACGGGATCACCGCTTCCACGAACACCCTCGCCCAGTCCTCCGGACGTCATTACGTCGAACATAACATCGGTCAATCCATCACACCATTCATTCAGGACTTTTTGGATATTGTCTCCTTTCACATCCACCATTCCTAATGGATATGTTCTCTTTTTCCCAGTCAACTTGGCCATCCATCGATCTACTGCTTTCGCCTGTGAACAGAACCCTTCCTCCTCCGTCGGCCAGCCCTCCCGATCGCCAAAGCCGAAAACGGAATACCCGACCAACCCAGACAGGGCAGACGTATCGATGCGGAAATCATTGTGCGTATCATCTAAATGACCCAAAAAGGTATTAATCATCGTATCGATATTGTATGTCGGGATCAAAATGCAGTAAAGGAACCTGGTATTCGGAGCTGACTCGGGCGGTTTCGGCGCGGTGATGAAATAGTCGTCAAGCTCGATATAAGATAGATCATGTAACTCTGGAGGTAGGATGTTTGTTTTACCATTATTCTCTAGTAATGGGTGAGATGCTTTTTGTAGTCTATCACAGAATGATTTGGCATATGTTTCAGTAGCACCGGTCAAGGAGGCGTAAAATACAAGAGGTTGGATGACAATGCCCCGGGGTAATCCTCCGCCGCCGATCTGGTGTTTGGCGCCATTCTTCTCCGGTTTGATGCCGCGTACCCTCTTAGGCCCATTAGCAGGTTGCGTAACTTGTTTAGGTCTGTTATCAACGGAGGAGGACCTTGAACGATGGCGCTTGGGTAAATCGGCTGCCGCTTGGTCATTGCTGGAGAATGACTCCAGCTCTGATTTTGCGTTTTGATTCTGATTCTTATTTTGAGAGGCAGGAAGTGAATCAGGTTCTGGAGTATTGGGTTGAGAATTTCTCGGAGCTAGCCACACGACAGTAAAGATCACAGCTGCGAGTAGAAAGATGGGGGCTCGGTATCGATGCCACAAGGTGAGAAGTCCTGCGACGATTGTGAGAAAAGACAGTCAGAGCGCAAAAGGAATACATGAGATAAGTTACATACCCCGTGCAACAATTCCCAGGTCTTCCCAAGCCATTTTGATATTATTTACATACACCTGCTTCGGCCAAGAACGCGGGTGGTATAATATCTATCTCGTCGTCGAAACAAAAATGAACCTGGGTTGGGGTCAAATACTGGACTTTTTGGCGGCTTGTTTGCTCTGTTTGCTATGTTAGCCTTGTTTATTTCAGTCTAAAATTTCGTTCACATGACATATCAGCCCTAAGTCGGTCGCTTCCCCAACCTAGCCGTGGTTACCTGATCCAGATCTCGCTTATGGCTAGCGTATCGCTAGCGCCTGCCGCGAAAAGTATTTAAGCCTCCTACATCCGCATCCTTTTTTTAAAATCCAGTCGACTTTACTTCAAGTAAGCACCCCCCCTTTACATTTGTCTATTATCGCCCCCCCCCCTGAGCATCTATGAATCACATCTTGATACTGATTCACCCGTTACAGAGAATCATTTCTATAGTAAATCGTCCCACCTGATTTTTTCGCATTAGCGACTGAATCCCCAACCTTGCTGATGACCACCATGTCCCCGGCGCCCTAGAGTGAAGCCTTTATGCTCCCGCCTCGATTGGCTCGGGTTACATGTGTCTGGAGGCTTAAGTCACCGATGTGTACCCGTTTCAATCAAGGGAGTGGTGATGATCTTGACCTTTCCTTGGCGTCTTGACTTCGGTCGGCCTGGTTTGGTGGGCGCCGCGGAGGTCTGAAAGGTCCTGTATAGTATTTTACATATTTTTCGGTTAAAAGTTACGTTGATGTGTGTTGATGAGTTCGGTAGTTTATCTGCCATCGATAGATACCAACATAGCACATAAGTTAAGATAATGAAAAAAATTTCTGCAAACTTAATTTTTTCTCCACTGCATGTGATTATCATTACGCAAATTCCTCTATGGATGCACTGTACATGACAAATGAAATTTACTCCTCGTGATATGCCACTACTAATCCCAACGACCCAAAACTCGTAACATCAGAAGCTCGAGAATCTCGACAGATAGGGCTCTCGCTACCAGGTATAAGTTATTCCTAGACATAGGATACTGCCATCGTCAGGTTGACGAGGCATTTTTGTTTCCCCCAGCAGCACTACCGCCAGAATTGCCTCCGCCTCCACCTTTCTTAAATCCACCCTTGCCTCTATTCCCTCGGCGAGTCGGTCGTGAGGGTGCTGGCCCTCCACCCCCTGGAGGTTGGTTCGGCCGATTGCTAGCATTTCCCCGTGCCTGTGCAACCGCTGCGCCCGATTTCCTCTCCAGCACTACAACTTGGCTTTGCGCTATCTGGACTGGGCTGGCTTGGATAGCCTTAGCCAACCCGTCTGGCTCCGCAAAGTCCACGTACCCAAACCCTTTCTTTTTGTCTATCTCCACTTTCACAACTTTTCCAAAGGTAGAAAAACCGCTCGCGAGCAACTCCTCAGTAACCCCTTGGGATGGATTAGCATGCTTCAAAAAGGCTTGTGTAGCGGTGGGCTGGGGACATGCTTTGCCAGAAGCTTGTGTAGGAGAGGAGTGCTTCGGTCCAGGCGGGGTTGTGAGCTTTCCCGGGCTTGCTGGCGCGTTCGTCGAGTTGTTTGCATTACGGCCTGTTGCCGTGTTGGACGGTGAGGAAGCCTTGGGAGATTTTGTAATTGCGGGCTTCCTAACTAATTCAGTTTCCCTGCTAGCTTTCAGTGAAGTCCGTTTACCACTTTCACCGTTGGAAAACGCGAGTCCTTTGGCAGTCTCGCTCGTCGGTGGTGATGATGCACCCTCTCCGTACGCTGGTTTCTCTGGCCTTCTGCGTGGAGTAGTTGGAGCAAGTCCCAAGTCCCGTCGTAGAATTTTAGTTGCGGCACTCATACTTCCCCGCACTCGTCTGCGCTCCGCAGGCGGTGCAGTCTGGGCCGGCGGTTCCTCTTTTGGCAACCGCGATGCAATTGTCTTTCCGGGAGCCTTTGATATTTGGTTCGCTGTCTGTTTGTTAACTGCTTTAACGGCTTCCTTCGTGGCCCTGTCAAGTTTCCACTGTCTGTCTCCCGGTGAGGGCGCTGCCTTGTCCGCTCGGCTTAACAACTTCCTGGCATGGACCCGTTCCACTTTAGGGTCTTTCCCCTCCCTCGCATCACCACGACCGTGTCTCGAGGGCTTTGTGAGAGAACTGGCCTCCTTGCCCTTATTCGCTTTTTTATCCTTTAAGAATTGGATTAAGGGGGTTATCGTTGGTTTCTCTTCCTTTGTATCCTCCGCCCCGATATCCATAGCAGGCTTGGTTACAGGGTTTGTTAAGCTCTCAAGGAATGCGATGAAGTCGGAATCCAGGTCTATTGTTCCCTGACGGCCATCCCTGCGAACTCTGCTACTAGGAACACGGGGATAAGGCGCATATTCTACCGCAGGCGGCCCCAGGACAACAGGATCTCGACTGGTGTTGCGCGCATCTTGAAATGCAGATGCTCGGACTTTTTCGGATAATTCTTCAACTAGCGGTATAGATGTAACACGTAGATATACCCTCGTAGGTCGAGAAGGCTTTGCCGGGCTAGCATCATCGTTTAGTCGTCAATGATTCCGTATCATCCTCCATTGCCTGAGAGTGAGAAAAAAAGGCACGACTCACTCTTTAGAAACTTTTCCTTCCTTGTAGTGAAACCAGTCAACTTTTCCATTCCCAACCTTCCACTCATCGCCCAGAACTGCCTCAAATTCCTGAGGCGTCAGACCAGGCGGAAGCCTTCGAATAAGTAGCTTCAACCGTGGAGCAGCAGCTCTGGAGCTCGGTTTGTTTGATGTTCCTTTTTGAGTGGCCGTCGCAGGGATGGGCAAAACACCAGCAGACGATGGCTTGGGGGAATGGCGCACCATTCTGGGTGATAACTTGAATAGAGTATCGATGAAGAGCAGTTGATGCTACATGTGGCCATGTGTATGGCTCCCAAGGTTGGCGATAAGGGGAGGGATGGTGGTGTTTGATGAAGTTGGTCAGCCAAGACCATTGTGTGAATCACTGAATCTGGCAGATCACGTGAGTGTTTTGCTAGATAGGAAGACGGCCAGGTGAGTTTGAATATAAAGTGATACTTTAGTTATGGATTCGGGTCCAGTTCAATGAATATTAATGTTCTAACTACCCAATGACAAGATGGAAACAAGAGTTCACCGGCCTGAAGACGCTACGGGATTTGGAGTTTTGAGTTTGTTTGTGTTTCTAGGTCATATAGTCCTATTATCACAGGCATTCAACTGCAAGTGCAAGCGAAAATTTGAGCAAATTAACAACGCTCCAGAGGTAGAATCTCAGCTGGATTTGCATTTCTTCCCCACCTCATATTGGAACTAAAAACTGTCTCATTCTTGAATCTCCCTAGAGACGGCTTTCCCGTCCCCGCCGTACCGTTTGCGGAAGCGGGTCAGGGAATGTTTTGCTCAAACACACTCATTTAGTGTTAGGAGATGCGTAGCATCCACAGAGACAGTGCACCATGGCACCTGTGAGAGCTTTTCTGCTCGGGGTTTTTCGAACTGTAGTTTTTGGGTTTGGGTTTAAAAAATTAACCTAAACACAGATGTTGCCTCTTGCCTGCTGGTATAAAGAGAGGGCAATATGACCACCAACACTTTGCCACCTAGTATTATTTGTCTTCTTCACTGCCAATTGGCAAGATTTCAGAGAATTCATTCCCGCTGACTTTCAAACCATTCCGGCACCGAAATGGATTTGTCACCCTTGACTGATAGGGCATCAATGCCGTCCTCAACTATTGCTAGTAGAATGAGTATGGGCGGAATGGACCATGGGAGCAACAATGACTGCAAGATCTCTGTAGGTTGCGACATTCCAATAGAATTGTTGAACTGCTTAGCTGGCTGCGCAACGGTGGGCGTGGGATTAACATCAATTACACCTGTAGATGCTTTGGAACTGGGACGTCATCAATGCCTGTAAGCTCTCCCAATCTCTCCATGACGAAGACAGGATTCCCTTTTACGTTTTTTCCTTGAGCTATTGGCCCTTTTCAATGTGCTTCAATGCCCCTGACATTTCTTTTCTGCAGGCTTCATTTCATCAACATGGAGAATTACCTCTAGGGGCATGTTTGCAGGGTCATGCATCGGCGTCATTCTCCTCGTCATGTCTCTTGAATTCCTCCGGCGCGCTGGTTACGAATTCGATAAATACATTGCTGGAAGAAGCAACATCTACTCACGACGATTGCAACGAATAATCATGAGCCCGAAATCGACTTCCAGTAGCCTAGGATCTCCGGTAGAGACTCCGATTGGCCCAGGAAATCGTGCTCCACGGCGGCCGACTCTGCTTCAACATACTGCCCGCTCACTTTTGCACATGGTGCAATTCGGTGTCGCTTATTTCATCATGCTGCTAGCCATGTACTACAACGGGTACATTATCATTTGCATCTTGATCGGGTCTTTTCTCGGCTCGTTCGTGTTCTCGTGGAAGTCAGACGCAGAAAAGTAAGGAATTTCAAAAGAGAAAAATGATTTTCTCAGAAAGGTTTCTGCCCTTAAACACGTCAATGCCAGATGCTAACAGAACTTTCGTTGTACCAGTGATGCTTGCAAAGTCACTGTGTGTTGTGGCTAGTATCCAGCGCATAGAGTGCAGGCGCTACAAGTAAGTTAGCGTTTTCTAGTTCTCATGGAAGATTGGCAACATCAAGCTAACAAAAGATTGCGAAATCGCCTACAGAAGAGCTATACTTGGGCTCTGCGACTAGACCAATCAACTGGGTTAGTTCATTTAAAGCGCGGGGCGATGACTCGGACATGATGAATAAAAGCGTGTAATATTGGTCTTCTTCTTGCATTGAGCAAAAAGGGGTGGCAGGAGTTTACTACATCTTGATGTAATTAATGTAACTGGTTCCTAGTTGTCAGTTAGGGTAACACCAGGTAAAACTCCTTTTGATTTTCAGTCTACAGGAAGTTTCTCCGAATATAATATTAACAAGCATCAAATGCTCGCTTACGCTCGCTTTGCTGCTTGCGCAGCCCCCTCTACCACTTCCACCCTCCCCCGACCACCTCCTACCCGCCTCTTACCACCCCTTCCACCCTCTTCCACACCGTATCACCTCTACCACCCCTTCCACCCTCTGCCCTACCACCCTCTTCCACCCCGTAGCACCCCTTCGACCCCTTCGACCCCTTCCACCCTCTACCCTCTCTCCTGCCGCTATCACTCTCCCCCCCTACCACTCTCTTCCACCCCGTATCACCTCTATCACCATTATCAGATTAATCAGAGCCATACAGACTGCAGAGCCAGCTGTTCAATCCCATCTGAATTCAAAGAGATGCACATGACATCACATGAGATCATGTTACAGAGAATTTAGCAGTGCATACTATGAACACAGAGATCAAAAACGAATATAGAGAAAAGTATAAAGAATGTAAATACTGTAGAGAATGTTTGAAAAGAGCAGAATAAAAAAAACAATGAAGATTTAAAGATTGATCTGAGCTGTATAAGACAGAGTATTCAAATATTTTTGATAAAATATACATAAAAAAGTTGATTTTTCTATAATAAATAGAGAGATAATAAATGAATTGAGACTGTTTAAATATATCAAGAGAATGAGAATTCTCACACACTGAGCAGCAGTGTATGAAATGAGTATATTAATAAATGTATAAATTGTAATGAATGTAGAGAAGAGTATAAAGAATGTAAATATAGTAAAGAATATCTTATACAGACTGCAGAGTCTGTTTATAAATTTAATAAGATGTATATAATATTATATGAGATTATATTATAAAGTATTTTACTCAGAAAAGTTAGTTGTTCTATAATATATAAAGAGATAAGTATGAAATACTTACTTATACTTACTTTGCTAATTATACAGTCTCTCTATTACTTTCATCTTCTATTTCTATCTCTATCCTCTTCTTATTACTGCTTTTATCGGAACAACCGCTCCACCACGAACTCGCTCGATTTTTCGAATAAGAACCCGCCGATAGATCCATCGAAAAGCCCTCGATCATACAAGCATTTTGACCCCATCGCCGACCGCATAACTACCCCATGTGGTGGTGGAGATATCCAGCCAAACGTGAACCAGACGTTGTTTGGAACTCCTGTGTGGGATTATCCCCTGTTCACCCCTATCACACCACAACCCCGGGCCAAAGTGCCATACAAATTGTAAGGTGAAGAGACCTAGTCATATGCACCAATCTTCTTGATTTTGGAAGATCCTCAATCTGTAATTGTGAAGATATCTGAGGAGTGACCTCCGCAAAAACCCTGTTCATCTTAGACTGACCGTGTGACCGTGTCTGGGACCAGGACCAGATTTTTTAATAGTTTCATTACCAATTTGACTGATTCCATTACACAGTTTTAACATTAAATAGTAGTTTCATACTGTTTCAGTGAGACTTACTATCTACTCTTATCATATTTTTCAAATGAGATCATGATTTTCACTTCTCAATTTAAATTATTTTTATTACTTTAAATGACTTTAAATCTTATTTAAGTATTATCAAAAAGTGTTACTTTTTAAAAAATTAAAAATAGTCTAAAAAAAACCTTAAAATGTCTAAAAATAGTAACTTTATATCAAGAATGAAACTAAATGAGATTAAATGAGATCACTTTCTCATTTTTTTCAAGTCATGATTTCATTTTAAAATCTGATATATAGTTACTTTGCATGTTTTTTTGATAGTCAGTCTCAGCAGAATTCATGTCAAGAAATGTATGAGACCAGATCAAATGAGATCAAATATGAAATTCATGATCCTGGCAGCCAGTCTAGTTCATCTTTGATATTTCAAAACATCAATACTAAGTCTTACTCTTATAGCACTCTTCTCAATCTGACTCATTCTCAGTAGAAAAATATAAAAAGATATCTCAGTGATAATATCAAGTATATAATTAACAGATACTTCTGAAGTGTAATCTCTGTGATCTGTCATCAGTGTATCTAGATATTAATATCAAGTCTCACTCTTGTACTACCTCTCTCAATCTGACTCATTCTCAGCAGAATAATACAAAAAGATACCTCAGTAGTAGCATTTAATACATAATCAGCAGATAACAAGTTAACAGCACATTAATAACAATAAAATCAGTATATCACAAGATCTGACTGAGTCTTTGATTCCTGCACAGTGAGATGTATTAAATCTAGTTTTAATATCTCAATATTCAATAGATTCTGTAAGAGATTGAGAATAGTAATACTAGATTTCTATTGAATTTAAGAATTAACTCTATATTAATATAATTATTGATAAAGTCTTCTATTTTAAAATATAAATAACTAGTTTCTCTACATTCTGCTGACAATATTTATATTATTATATAGAAACAGACTTATATTCTCTATAATATCAAGACTATAAAGAGAGAAAGTCTTGATAGAGAGTATATAATAGTGTATATTTTAGCAGTTTCTATCTCATTCTTCTGCAGCAGTTAATGTAAAAAAAAAAAGATCTTAGAAATAATTTTTTACTTCTCTTGAAAAAGTAAGATATTTTTCTCTGAATTTTATATAATATTCTTACAAAGAATTAAAAACAGAGCTGTTTTCTGTCATAATTTCATATTCTTTTAAGTAAGAATTACTTTTTCAGTGATTGAAGAGCTTTTATTAATACTTAATTATTTTTTACACTCTTTATTAACTGATTTGAGTTGCACACTTATTGTGTGAGAAGAATTGAATAACTTAAAATAAAATTGAATAGTTTTAATCAATTTCTCTGTAAAAAATTTATTTATTTTTTATCAGTTTTTCTCTCAAAAACTGTCATATTATCTAATTTATTATTAATTAATATCATACTTTTTCTCACTATATTTCAAGAAAGAGATTGTAAAGATTTTATTGATTTATCTTAAAAATTAATTTTAGTTTATTAGATTCTCTTCAAAAATCTAATCTAGTTACTGAACTAGTGTGAAAAAAATCAGGTATTTTATATATAAAAGTCTTTTATTCTTCTTTTGAAACAGTCTAATCAACTTTTCAATTGAAAACAGACTTAGAAATCTCTTAATTAAAACAGTCTGATTAACTTTTCAAAAGAGTTCAATAAATATCTTAATTAAAATAGTCTGATCAACTTTTCATTGAGTGAGAACAATAAGTTTAAAAATACACTCAGTTAATATGAAAAAAGATGCTCTCTCAAATGTTATTTCTGAGATTGAAATTCTGTAGAGAAGAAAGAAAGAAGAAATAGAGAAATAATAAGTTCTTGAAATACAAACACTTGAAAAAGTAAGCAAGATTCTTGAAAAGCAGTGTCTAAGTGAGATAAATGAAGAAGTTCTATTAATTCTTTATACTCAGGCTAGACAACTACAGAAAGTGATCAAGTTCAAACTTGAAATTTCAAACACAGTTTAAAAAACATTGAAAATTCCTAGTATAATGATTGACTCTTCATTTTACTCTTTTTCTTTTTTTTCTACTTCTTCTTCTTCTTTAAATCAGAAGAAAATATATGCTTAAGTAACTAAATCTACTATCTCTAAATCTGCTATATCAAAATCTACTTAAAATTCTGAGAAAACTGAGAAGAATACTACTCATACTTCTATTCATAGAAAAGTAAAAAAAAAAAAAATATAAAAAGAGAAAATCTTTCAAATCTTCAGAAATAGAAGACTTATTCTCAAAGTCTTAAATCAGAACATTCTGCAAAGAAACAAGCTAAACTCAAATCTCATTTTCAGAATCAGAAATGAAATTAATCAGCAGTTCTTTTCTCAGTTGATAAATAATATTAAAGTTTAAAAATCAGTTATAGCTTCAATTAAGCTATCATTCTTTACAAACTTCATTATTCTGACTACAATGTCTGAATTCAGTACTGAATTTCTTTTTCAGAATAAGAATCTCTAAAAGTCAGCTGTAGAATCTTTGCTAAATATAATAATTTCATCTGAGAGAGATGAAAAGTGAGACAAATTCATTCTTTATAATATTTAAGTTGAAATTTTTGACTGTGAAGAAGAAATACTACTTGTCAAAAATAAATTAAAAGAATACAACTCTATTCAACTGAGAAAAGAGTCTGTATAACTAAATTCAGTTAAGTTCAGATAAAGCAGAAGAAATGTCTCTATTTTAATATATATAAAAACACTTGAACAGTTAAAGATCTCTGAAGTAAGAGTAGCAGATTTAAAAATAAGAGTTCATGAATACAAAGACTCAAGAATGAATCTCAAAGCTTAAACACAGTGTTTAAACTGTCAAAGATATAAACACTTTACAATCTCATATTTTAGAGACTTAAAATATGCATTCTATTTCAGAGATCATAAAACTAGAGAGTATAAATATGAAACATGCTTAAAAAGAGATGAAATATGTTAATATACTCTGCTTAAATGCTCTAATTATAAAGAAAAACATGCATCTAGCTTAAAAAAATGTATATTTACTTCAAGAACTCAAAAGAACTGAAGAAAAGATAAAGCTCAAAACAAATCTAGAACTGAAGAGAATAGTCAAGTCAGTAAACTCACAACTATAAGCTTAAAAAGAAGAAACTCTCAACTATTTAAATCTTCAAACTTCAATTCTTCAGCTAAATGTAAGCAGAATTTGAATTCTCAAACTTCTGTTAAGATTAGAGAATTGAGAAATGACTCTGATAATAAACTAGATATAATGTAAGCAGCTTGTTAACTAAATCTATTGAATGCTCAAAAATTTATTCAATCAGATTATCAGCTCTTACTACTCTTTTACATTTTGAATTTTATCAGAGATAATGTGCTGTAACATGACGGAACTGAAGCAGTAGCTAGTCAGCAGTGTCATGTAGAAGTAGTTGTTTGAGAAGTCATATGAGTGAGCTTGACTATCTTGCTTGAATAGTGAGCTTGTAGGCTACAAGGTTATTACAAGAATATCACAGATATGATACTTAGTATACTAAGAAGATTGTATAAGGCATGCAGTAACTCTTATATATATTTCAGTAAAAGAAAAAGATGAATCACTGAC